TGGGTCAGTTCAAATTTAAAAAGTCCTGTGGACAGAGATTTGTGGGGAACTTCTAGAGCGGACTGATCGTTACAATTATCTTCTCCAACAGTGGGAGTCATCTTCTAGGTTGTTGCTTTTCCCCCCCAGTGCCTTCTATCTGTTTGCAAGTGCTCTATTACCAAGCTGCTCCACCACCCAGCCCAGGGCTAATGCAGAGTTGGGGAGGAGAGAACGGGAAAAGTACAAGGTAAAATGTCACAAAGTTGGTGTTTTTCTTTTTGTGGTTATTGTTGTTTTTGCGAAAGGGCTTTAGTATGTAGTTCATGCTAAGCTTGAATTTGCTATGTAGCTGATGTTGACCTCAAACTTGAGGTGCTCCTCCTGCCTCAGCCCCCCAAGTGCTTGGATGATAGCCATGTACCACCATGCCCAGCTTCAGCTCATTTTTAAAACTTTCCTCAGGGTCGTGAGCGAGCTATGCCATTGACATACACTGACACATTGTGTCTTCCCGCAATATCAGAATTTGTTGAGTACCAGTGGATTTTCAGACTACATTGGTTTCATTGGCTTTGCTTAGTAAGCACTGCAGATTCTACTTGGAGTTGTGACTGTAACAACCACAGGTTCCTTATTCTGTTCCAGTCTAAATCACTAACATCTATAGCATGCAAGCCGCAGGGTACACCTCGAGTGGGGGTGTGAGCCCTGGAGGCTGGGAAGGAGCCAACATTATGGGCACAGAGACAGCACTGGGTTGGTCTGCACACAGAGTTATTGCTGTGGTCAGCACACAGATGCCACATGTCAGGGTGCAGGCTCCAGGGATGGCTGTGAACAGGGCAGCCCCTTAGTGGGGAGATGGCTGAGCTGGCCTGGAGACACGGGCAGGAACTCATCACCCGGCCACCTCCCAGGCAGCAGGAGACATGGGGACCTGGGGTGGCCCATGACTGGTGCACCCTGCCACAGTCTAAGGTGTTTCCCCCTCCATGTGTCCTGAACTCAGTGGCAGCACAGTCTCTGGGCATCTCCTGGCTGCTGGCTCCTCTTCACCCAGGGCAGTTGATGGGGTAGAGGCTGTGTGATGGGGGCATAGCTGGGCACAGGGAAGTTAAAGCCAATTATCACAGTAAGAGAGGCTGCCGTGAGCCCAGCTCCGGACCCCTGCTCTCTGCGAATATACTCACCCCAGGGCCTGAGGCGGCCAGTGGAAGCTTGGGCTTCCTCTTGCCTCAGAGGCCTTACACATGGTGATAAAAAATACAGTAAATTCTCCTGAAAGGCGCCACCCAATAGCATGGTGGATGTGGCCCTCGTCACCTTACTGCCACCCCAGAGCCGCACGGTGGGATCCCTGGCTCTTCCCTGAAGTCAAGATGGCCTCGCAAGGTCAGTGTTTTGAATTAATCAGGGAGACAGGACAGCGAGAAGACACCCAGGACAGAGGACCCCAGAGCTGCGTCAGGAGGCGGCCGGAGCAGGAGGAGAAGTGCGCGTGCAGGCAGGGGAAGCACTGAGATGGGGGAGCATTGAGGGAGGAGCATGGAGAGGGGGAGCACTGAGAGGGGAGCATTGAGAGAGACTTGGGGCTGCGTGTCTTTTAGTACAATAGTAAGCTCACCATGCACTTTGTGCTGTGTCTCTCTGAGGACAGGGTGTTGGCCTGGCTGAGGGAGTGTGTGTGTGTGTGTGTGTGTGTGTGTGAGTGTGTGCATGTGTGTGTTAGAAAAGGGGCCCCCAAAGCAGGCAAATAAATAAATACAGTGAAACCTCGGTTTGCAAGAATAATTCCTTCCATTTGTGATCCAAAGCAGATAGAGAGAAAGAGAGAGAGAGAGAGAGACAGACAGACAGACAGACAGAGAGAGACAGAGAGAGACAGAGAGAGACAGAGAGACAGAAAGAGACAGACAGAGAAAGACAGAGAGTGAGACAGAGAGAGGGTGCATCTTCAGCTGTGATCACATGACACTGGCATGGTGCAGACATCACCTGCTATCCGGTTAAAATTCCCTAGACTTGTCTGCTTGCCTCATGGACTCTCCCAGATAAGAGTTTCTTCTTGCGCTCTAAGGCTGAGCTGTGGCCACAAACCGAGAGAGGTACTGTGTCACTGAGGACAGAGCATTTCTGTTTCAGACATCAGGCACCTGGGGAACCGGGAGGAGACTTTTAGGGCCACACAGTGGGCAGCTTGGTGAGCAGAGGAACAGCTGTCTTGGGCCGGGACTTGGGTATGGGGGAGCTGGTGGCGGGGGGAGCGGGACAGCAGGCCATGCAGGCTTCAGGGCCCTGAGTCCTGGTTTGCACTGCTGTGGCTCTGATGGTGACTCTCACGCTCCCTGCTCACCATCATGGCCACAACACACATGCTCCCAAAGGGTGAGACCCTCGGCACCGAGGCACAGCTCAGGCATAGTGCCCAGCCCTGACACTGGGCCTCTGCCAGCCTGGGACAGACAGAATCCTCAGTGGGGTGGGAGGGGAGACTGCACGGCCACGGGACTGTCCCAGAGCCTTGGCCCTGGCCTCTGCAGCCCCAGGCTCTGGTCTGCAGGCTCTCTTGGTGCCCACACCAGAGTCTGAACCAGGGTGGTGCCATGGGTGGTGCTGCAGCTCCCACCCCTGGCCTGGGCCCTGCCAGCAGTTGGGCTGTTCTTCAAGGTTCAGTGTCTGGGGATTTTGTCAACCGCCAGGTAGTGCTCAGGGGTCTGAATGGGGCCAATACCTGCATTTCTAACAAACTTCATGCATGCTTCCAGCACTGCCACTGTCAGAGCAGATTTGAGAAACGAGGGACAATGGCTCAGTGGCCCTGCTGCCGCAGACGCCCTGAGCTGCACAGTAATTAGGACCAGCTGTTTGTTAAGTCTCCTCTGTCAGGGTGCCACCCAGAGACTGTGCCCCGCAGGCATCCTGTGACCCAGGGTGCTGGTCTGCCCTCACTACAGAACACCGAGGCTGTGGACAGGTCACCCCCAGGCCAGAACCACCTGCTGTGCCACTCCCACACCTGAGTCCCTTGACCCAACGCCCCACCAATCCCAGGAGCCCCGCCCATGGGGACCTTTTCTCCTCCTCCCTCCCTGTAACAAGGACCAAGAGATAGGTCTCCAGGTGCAGGTCTCCAAATAACAACTGCAAGGTGGGCACAGCCTGAAGGTCACAGCCCACAGGGCAGAGCCAGGAGAACAGGAAAAATCCCAAGCAAGAACTGGGCCCTCTGTGCATGACAGGAGAAAGAGAAAATGCAGTGGACGGTTCCAGGGAAATTGTGGACATCTGCGGCAATCAGTGTTCTTGTGTTTTCTTCTCCAGGGATCCAGGATGAGAAGACCAAGGGAGCACAGAACATGAGTTCCATGCTGGGGAGGCTGCTGGACTTCAGAGGCAGTTTCCTCAGCCTGCTGTGAAAAGACGCCCCGAGGCACAAGTGTTGTACTTCAGAGAGAGGAATTTCCTAACCCTAACTGTAACTCCCTGACCCTAACCCTAACCCCAATCCACTCACCTGAAGCCCCAAAACCTAACCCTGACCCTGACCCTAATCCTAACCTTAACAATAACCCCAACCCTAACCTGGGGTCCTGATCACAAAAACTATCCAAGCTTCTGGTGAGTGATGGGCTGGGCTGCCTCTGTAACCCTCAGGACGTGCCATGCTGCCAGGGGAGCAGAAGGAGGCTGGGCAGCAGGAGGCTGGCGGTGAGGGTTCCGGCAGCCCCAGGCTCCCGTGCATGCCAAAGTGCCTTACAGCCTGTGGACTGGTGCGGCAGGGGTCTCCCTGAAACCCCTCCCAGGCCCCTGGGCTTTTCAAGTCGCCCTGAGCAGAGCAGCCCCGTGTTGGGGCCTCTGGTGGCCTCTCCTTTGGTGCAAGGCTCCAGTGGACTTGGTCTTTACAAACGGCCTGGGCCCAGACCCCTGGGGTCCCATCCAGGCCCCATCCCGGGGCCTCCCTGTGCTGTGGGGCTGGGGATCTCTGTTCACCTTTCACACCGTGGCCCCTGCTCTGGCTGTGTAACTCCCGCAGGAGTATAACGTGAGTGCTGAAGGAAGGTAGTTCGGATTTTCTATACATGTATGACGATCGAAAACCTTACAGAAAAGTTCGTGCTCCTCCCGTGCAAGGGAAACAAATAATAAAAAAACCAAAACCCACAATGCTGCATTGAACAGACAAGCTAAAGTTTACTGAGGATACACACACCAGACACCGTGCTACACCTGACCAACTTTTAATTCCTGGTTCCACAACTTCTTTGGGTAGATGTGTCCATGTTACAGACAGGGAAACTGAGGGTTAGGGAATTTAAGTCATTGGCCCAAAGCCATAAAGTAGTAATCAGCACAGCAGGAGATCTAAGTCCACTTCTCTTTCTGGAGCCAGGCCTTTCGCTGGGGGGGACGTGCTGCTGTGGTGTCCAGGCTGGCCTCCAACACCGGTCTCTGGTGCCCCCCTCCCTCAGCCCCCAAATAGCCAGGACACAGATGTGCACCACCACTCCTGGCCTGGGCTTCTGAACAGTCCCCATTAAATAAGGGGCTCCCTGCTCGCAGCCCACCTCGCTCCTGAGGCTCCTGGGCACACATGTGTGCAGGTCACCTGAGTTAAGGGCCACCTTCACGAATCATGATTTTTATTTCTGTTGAGAGTCTGTGGGTTGCTATAAATGGCTAACCCTAGAAATGCGGTACCCCACCTCTGCTCCTTTATTTTTTTGCTTTTTTGAGATAGAGTCTCACTACATAGTTCAGGCTGGGCTTGAACTCATGATGTTACCCAGGCTGGCCTCTAGCTCAAGCTCATGGTGATCCTCCTGCCTCAGCCTTCTGAGGGTCAACTTACAGACGTGCCCTCTCTCTCCACCAGACAACACTTCCTGGGTCTTCCTTCACTGATCTTTCCTGTGGCCGTGGCCCTGGCTTGGGCCACTCAGACTCACCCTCCAGAGAAAGCCCCGGCCCTGCACTCTCAGGACTAAGGCGGAATCAACACAAAAGGCGTGAGAATCGTCTAAATTTAAAGTGCTGGAAAATCCAACATTTTATTGACTACATTTCGGTGACTACATAAATGCTGAAACATTTTAACACTGAAAAGCATGATGGGTCATCACTTGCTTTTTTTGTCTTTTTTCTTTTTTTGCTTAGCAAACACAGCAGATGATATTGCACGGCGTAAAGCGAGGACAGTAGCGAAGCTTAAAAACAAAAACAAAAATAAAAACAAAAAACTGAGGGAAAGCGGGATGCGGTACAGGAGCTACCGGGAAACAAAGCCGGAGGTGCCTGGCCCCGCACCCCCGCGGCTACACACCACGCACAGAAGCATCGACGAGGGACAGGGCATCTGCAGATGATCGGAACGGGCACAGATCATTTCACCTGAAATGTGGAAACCACTAACCGACAGAGAAAACGACGGCAACATTTGTCCTTTGTCAAAAGTCTTCTAAGCCCCTCGTGGTTAGGTTTCTAATTCATTATTCAGCGATTTTTTTCCACTGCTAAGGAAGAACTCCCTTGGCTCTCGGAAGATTTTTCTACCCTACCAATCTTTTTTATTTTATCTTAGCGTTACTTTTTACCTGATGATTGTCTTAGGCACCCTCCTTACATCATAAAACCATCAAGCTAACTTGAACAGGGAAACTGAGTCACACGGATATGACAGCTGAGGTTGGAAGTGTGCTGGAGATGAGGCAGGAGAAAGGAGAGGTCCGGGGTGACGGGGTGATCTGGACTGGACGCTAAGCACAGGAATGTAGGAAGACCACTATCGAAGCAAGAGGAAGATAAGTTTTAAAGTTTATTTTTTTAAAACATACCTGTCACTGGGTTCAGGTGGCAAATCTAAAATGAGCCCACAATGATTATGTAATAAATGCAGACCATGCCACAAAATAAATCAAGATGAACACAGAAACCAAAAAGGTGGCTTTGTGGGTACAGCTGCTCCGCATTGGGTACCAAAGGCGCAGGGGATGGGACCACGATGCCTGCTGTTGGGGTCAGGACACCCCCACAGCATCCATCAGATACACACGGGGGAATCTTCCTAAGGAGAAGCCGCTTCTGACCAGAAATCTAAGCCTCCCCTCCTGCCCCACTCCAGACACACCTGCAAAAGGAGGCGAAACTCTGCAAGGAGCGGGTAAGTATCTGCCCTGAAGGGAGAGATTCCGCAAAGGGAACCGAGTCTGAACTTTGTGTGCTGAAAAGGCAGATGCAGGAGCTGCCGGGAAACTCCAGTGGGTAGGGCAGGGAGAGGACAGACAGACAGACAGACCACAGCTCCTCCGCCGGCCAGCCCGAGCCACTGCTCTAGTGTGGAGGTTGGGGGCGGCCGTGGGCAGGGAGTGGAGGGGACCGCCATGGCTCTGAAGCTCTTAAATCAGAATGGTCGGCTGAGGCCACACAAGTCTGCTCTGCTGCTGGCTTGGCTAGGGGAGCCCAGCACCGCAGCTGCAGCCCCAGTTCGTCCCCAGGGCCCGAGTCCCTTGTTCTCTGGTTTGCCAAAGAGAGGCTGGGTCCCCAGGCCCTGCCTGGAAGCTGCCAGAAACTTGGGGTAACAAGCAGATTTCCGAGTTCAAGTTAGCTTGTCTCTTTACTTCTCATACCCGTGCGAATGGCTAACAGAAAACCAAAACGTACCAGTCTCTACCTCCGGGATGCGGGGCTCTCAAACAAGGAACACGTCGGTTCTTCTGGAATTTCGGGTCTTACTCCCGAAGTCATTTTTCCCCTAAAAATTAATAACCTAACGGAAAACACGAATAACGCCTCTCCCCTTTCCGAGTGACAGAAAGACGAGCTGGGCCAGGGGGAGAGACCTGCCCACAGCTCAGCCCATACTCAGAACCCACGGCCACGCGGAGCTGGGGCCGTCTCGCTCTATTATATACATCTTCCCAACTACACGGTCATAAATTAAAGCAGTGATTAAACAAGCTTGTACAAAATGTAATTAAATTAAAAAATCACAGCACGTCATAGAGAAAAATAGGAACCAGTTTCACAAAAAGATTATATATATTTATATATATATAGATTTTTTTTTTTACCCTGTGGAAACAAATTTTCTACAAAACACAAAACCTTTGTAAGAAGCCATCCAAATGAAAATCTTCCCTCATTCCATTCTTGGCATTAGTACACAACCCTAAGCCCACCTGGGGGACATTTCCAGAAATTAAGTCTTCCTTGAGCAACAGAGCAGTTCAGCCCAGAAAATAAACCCCGAACCAAAAGGGAAGGGGAGGGGGTGTCTCCAACATACAAACTACAAAATAAATAAGAATTCTAAAGTTCTTCTTAAAAGTAACCTTAACAATTATCAAACTAGTAAGTTCTGCCTTGTCACATAGACTCTCTATACAACGTAACCCTAGACTTTATTACTATGAGGTATTTGGAGGAATTGGTAAAGGTGACACACGGCTGGCCTGGCGAGGGACCCGGGGACCAAGGAGGCCAGGGTGGGACAAGGAGGAGGAACTTTGGTTTATCAGCAAAACATTGGGTGGGGGAAGTCATCCTTTGGTATCAAAGAAAGTTTCATTGCATGGTTGCATGGAAAAAGCACCACGGTGAATAATTATTCCTTTTTGTTTTTCATTGTGGCCTAAGAGGCTGAGGTATTCAAAGAGTATAAGGAGAGAGAGGTTAACAGCGGTTTAACACTTTGGTTCAAGCAAGGCACTCATCCTAAGAGTTACAGGTTTGCGACACGTTTGCTAGAGATTGACAAGAACAGCTAGCAGTTGTAAGAGCGTGTTTCCTAACGGTGTTGTTGTGATCGTATCTATTAAGAATGAAGAGGAGTTTACACTGAGAGGGGGGGACAGCAGGTGGGGCGGGGCTGGGCGGGGCGGGTCCCTCTGCAGACGAGGCCGTGCATGAAAACATCTTTGGTATTCTTTGGTATCATCAGTGTGATTAAAATCACCAGTGGAAATCGAGTGAGGTAGCGTCTTTGGTTCACACTATAAATAGTAGATCTTTACTTTTTTTTTCTTTTTTTCATTTTTTTCATTTTTTTTTGTTTTTTTGTTTTTTACATGTGGAAGTAGCTATTTCTTACCTTCTGCTTCTTTGTCCTTGGACTATTTAGGAAATAGTTACCAAATGTTCTGTAAAGCTAACCACACCACAGTAACCATCCAGACGGTGGGGGAAGCATCTCAAAACAGCCTCTGGGGTTTGAATGCACCCTAAACAACCCGATAGAAAAGGGAGAAGTGCTTTCTCTTTGTTTGCTAAATGCATAGATTTCATCCTTTATGTAAAAAGAAGGGGACAGTGTTTAGGGGAAATGCCCCTGGAGCGAGCGCATGGGGAAAATGTCCTAGGACTCTTTGGTTTGGCGGTTTGCATTTAACCTGCAAAGACCTGTCTTCCTGGGGTGGCCGTGGGTGTGGAATGAGTGAACAGCTTGGTGCTTTCCTGCGTTCCTGGGGAGCCCTGCGGGACTTCTGTACATGCCCACACATTTCCTCTGGTCTCTGGGGTCTGTGCAGGGGCTGGGATACCCATGCCCAATCCCCAGATCTCCACCTGAACTGCAGACCTCTGGGGTGTCCAGACCTCATCCCTCCTGGCTATCTTTCAGGAAAGCTTCCTGTTAGGAAAAGACCTGAATGGTTTGTGGCAAAAACAGACTAACTTCCATTCTACAAAAAAAAAAAAAAAAAAAGCGCGGTATGTATCGTAATTAACAAATGTGTCACCAGGTGCACGAGGCGTCCTTCTCCGGTGCGTTCTATACAATTAGCGATGAGCAAACAGGCAGTCCACCGCTGCCAGGCTGCGAGTTGTAAAGAGCGGGACTGTGATGAGCTGCAGGGCCCGGCAGCATCTGCCCTGCACCCCAGGCCGCTGCGCAGGGCTCCAGCAGGCCACTGCCTGTGGGGGCCCAGCCTGCCCACCAGGCTTCTGCAAAGCAAAGTCTGTGTGGTCAAGTAAAAAATAAATGATCCCAGGCTCCGAGTTGTGCCTCTGTTTATGAGAAAAGTGTATTTCTAGGCCCTGAAATTTTGGAAAGCGTGCAAATTCAATGCCGGTGTGAAAACCATCTTTGGTGTCAGCAAGTAGGGAAACCAGTTATTTAAAAATCCATTGCGGCAGGGGGTATTTAAAATGTAGCAATATTCTTTTAGACTGTGCCCACACAGGACCAAGATCACTGGCTGAAAATGCACAAGGTGGTAAGATTAATTTGGGGGGAAGTCCAATGAAAACAAATGGAGGTTGTTTGGAATCATTCTGTTTTTCCTGGGGTGGCAAAGCCAGGAAAGAGTGTGTACAGACGGTTTGAATTTCCCTGGGTTTGCAATTCTCATATTTTAAATAAGTAAGACTTTCCTCCCTCCTAAATTATAAATACATTAGGTAGCTGTACCCTCAGCTCCCTCTATTCTGAGAGAAAATTAATCATGTTTTTCTTGTTAGGTCATTATAAGACTATTTTTAGGGTGGACTTGAAGGGTGGACTTTGAAGCAGTCTCTTAATAGCTAACTACAGCTGTGCCATATTTAGGAAGGGAAAATTTTAGCTGGGGTCTTGGATGAAATAAAAAAATATGAAGACCAACGCCCGCAGGTGTAGGCAGGCAAAGGAGCGCAGGCGCTCGCTTCCTCTGAAGCACGATGCGAGGGCTGGTCGGGTCCGCCTCCCCTCTGGGTGCGACCTGCGTGTCCTGGGTGGATGTGGACACCTGGCCTTCAGGAGTGAGGTGTTGTGTAAGGTGATCTGGGGTTTTGCTTGGGCATTTTACCGAATCTCGGTAAATACCTTATCAAGTTACTGTAACTTTTGGATTTCTGGTTCTAGTGAGATGTGTAACTAAGTACTGGGAATGTGTAGTTCAGCTGATCTCAGAGAAGTGTGTGGGAATCAAGGACTCACGGGGTACCACTAGGGCCTGATTTCTTTTCTGCCTTGATTTATAGACCCCTCTCCCCTACAGCTGAGTGATTTGGAGAAACAGAAATTTAAAACTTAGTATTTTGGAAGCTCAGGTCTAGCTTTTTATCTGTCTCGGTTAGAGTGGAACCTATGTTATAAAATTTCCAGCTTCGTCCAATAGCAAGAAAGAATGTAGGAGACTTTAGGGGTTATGCTGAGGGAAATAAACTGCTTCCATGTCGATGGGACTCAAGGGCTGCATTTCCTAGAATCCAGCTCTCTCCATGCAGTTCCACAGCTCGGCCAGTTCTTGTTAGCACCTGCTGTTTTACAATGTCCCAGTCACAGTGTCTGGGATGGCAGTAAATCAGTTTGACTACTTTTTAGGATGGTTACAAAACAGCGAACAACTAATTTTAATTTAATTTAATCTTTAACTTAATTTAATTAAGAGATCGGGCCTCTTCTCTAGGTCACATAGGCAGATCTTGAACTCCTGGCCCAAGAGGTCCTCCTGCCTCAGCCTCCTGAATAGCGGGGACTACAGGGACATGCTGCCATGCCTGTCTTGGACAATTAAGCTGAAGAATGATGTTGGTCTGGCCATTCTGCGTTTGTGAAGTATTTTTAAGCGCCAGACACATGAAAAATTTAAGTTAAATTAACCTAATTAAATTAAGTTCTTATTGGTGGGTCTGTTGCTAATTTGAACCAATTTTCTAATTTGGTTACCTGCCTTGTTAAACAGATCTGTGTACAAGTGGGGTCCTACTTGGAAGTACCCTGGGTTTTCTCAGCCATGAGGAGAGAACCTATCACGTTTAAGCAGGTGACATCTGTTGGCCGCACGGTGTGCTGCCTGGAGTCTCTGGCTCCCTGAAGCTACATTCTTTCTTGCCAGTTATGAAAACTCATATTTCAAATGCTTCAAGAGTCATGAATCGCAGTAGTGAACCTATGCAGTATGTATTAAGCTAGATCAGTTCATAGGTATAACTTTACATAGCCTCTTGTGTAAAAATAGCTTTGGTTATTAAAATTGTTGCAATAAAATACCTGCACTATAATATTAAGTGTGTTCTTTGGTACCTAGGTGATTTTTTTTAATGGACGGACTCTTGTTTCATTTCTTAAAAAATATCTGAACATTCCTTAACAAACAAAGAGAATGCACTGGTCTGGGTGCTGTTCAGGTCTCCTTTGGTGGGTGAGTCTGCGACCGGGCCATTGCCCGGCAGGTTCCAACACTCGGCTAGCCTGATGGGCGATGTCACGCTCCCAGTCACCGGACCCTTCCTGACCACTCATCCTGCCCGAGTCCCCATCACAGCGGCGCACATGAGTGTGAGCAAGTGTGGACACGTGTGCACACCTGCACATGGTGCCGCCACACTGGACACCTCCATGGCATGGGGGACCAGACAAGGAAGTCTGATCCTAACGATGTCCACTCAGTGGCCCGGGTTCAGATGCTCCGAGCCACCCGCAGCCGTGTGCGTGCGGTGACAACAGCCGTGGGCTGCGGGAGCAAGAGGTGGAGATCCCACCTGGCCTTCCTGTTGCCACTCCGCCCGCCGTAGCATGTGTCTCCAAACAGAGTCAGGTGAGCTGAGTCTTTGGTTTCTTTGGACTATAAATATCACTTCTTTTTCTTCAAATACTTCTGAGTATAAACCTGCTCTCTCGAGGTCCTGGTCTTTAAAAATCTTCTCTTTTAAAGTTAAAGCTTTTCCACCGAGGTTTGAGTCCGTGGCTCCCTTCACGCTTTGGTGCAGGTGCTAGAGGAGGAGGAGCCCCCGGAGCTGGCGCCTGCCTCGTCCTGCCACTTGTCCAGGCTCCTGCGCCGGGCGTTCATGAAGAAGTTGCTCACTGTGCTGAGCTCCAGCCCCAGCTGCTGGGAGATGGTGATCTGCAGCTCTTTGGATGGACGCTTGTTCTCCTTGAATATCGCGTGCAGAGTTCGGCGCTGGACATCGGTGAAGACCAGCCTGGGCTTTTTGGGTGTGTTGCCTCGATCCTTTCCGTGCTCTTGCTCTTTCCTCTTGCACGCTGTAAAGGAACACAGGATAGTTTTAGAACAAGTCCCCGGGGTCACGAATGCGAGGCAGGACCAGCCACACCGCCAGCCTTTCCTGCCTTGCGGGCTTCCTGGCTGTGGCCGGGGGCAGCTTCCTCTGGGAGTTTGGGCCTCAGCTGCAAGCCTTGGACTAACTGAGCTGACCACTTGGATCTTTTATTTCTCCATCTGCAGAATGGAAATATGAAAATGTACCGCACGTGGCGGCACCTGCCAGAAGCTGAGGGGAGAGGACTGTGAGTTTGGGGCAACTTCAGCAAACAAAGCAAGAAACCGAACAGAACTTACGATTACTGACCTTGCTGGACTGTGGAAGACACAGCATTGTAAAAGTTCACAATAACTGAGGCACTTTGCAAAGGCAAGGGTGGCAGATAATGAGGAAATACAGCAAATGTCTAAATATTCTAATTATTACAGCAAAAGTTACCTTGCTGCGAACTGAAGCCCGCTCTAACCTTCCCCAACATTCTTATCCCGTCTTCCTTTCCTCTTCCTGAAGCAGTTCTGGACATCCTCTCTCCTGTTCTAGCTGTGCTGCCATGGCTGCCCGTGTCCCAGTGCATTCAGATGTTTCCCTTTCAGAGTTATATTCACTTTGGGGAAAGTCGAGGAGTCTTGGTGCCGAATCTGGTGGCTAAGGTGGATGAGGACACAGCGTCTCGTTTTTATGACATCACTTTTTTTTGGAAGGTGCTTGGCAGCTGCAATCACTGTATTTTTGGTCACTTCGTAAAGACTCAGGAGAGAGGACCCCCAACTGCTCAGAAAGCGGGCAGAGTGACGGCCGGCAGGGGGAGCGTGGCGGTGCCCTCTCATTGCAGTAAGGTTTCAAACACAAACATTGTTCTGACCGAGCCCCGTTTATCAGCAGAGGTGGCTGTGGCCTCAGAGCCATGGTCTGCTGCTGTCGGAATGCCAAGAGCCAGGGTGAAGGTTTAGAAGCCTGATCATGATCACACTGTTTCCCCGATTTTTCCTGTGTTCTGGGAAAGCCTGCACCCCAGCCGGCCCACAGCTCTCCTTGCTTCCTCGGGAGATCAGAGGTCATGGGTGGGTACCCCTCTTCCCTGCATTTAGGTTGGGCTGGCCCCTGGGGCACTGTCTGTGTCCTCGTCTTGCTCCTGGGGCCCCCTGCCCCCTGCCCCCTGCCCTCTCCCGTACTCCCTCTCACCAGCCCTGCCCATCCCCTCCTGTCCCGGGGGGCGCCTGTCAAGCCCTGGAGGTGGCTCTGCCTCTGCCTTCTTTGAGGCTGTGCCTATGGCTGAAGGGCACCTCAGGCCACACTGGCAGCCACCTCCTTCCTCTCCCCCATCTCTACTCCTGGGCCCACAGGAGCTGGGGTCAGGCATGGCGATAGACACAGTGGTGTCCTGGCTCCCATGGAGCTGCTCTTGGCCTGACTCAGGCACCGAGGACAGCTCCTCCCGCTCCTGTTCCCGGGTGACAGTGGTGTCACCTTCTGGAACAGCCTCTGGGTCCCCTCTCCTGGTGTCCTGCTTGGACTGCAGCCGCGGTCCCCTCCAACCTCAGCGTCCACTGCAGCAAGGCAGCTCAGCCCTGGATTCGCTCAAGCAGTGGTGGAAGCTGAAGACGCCTCCAGTCTTTGCAGTCTGGCAAATGGTCTCTGGGAGACTTCCAGGAACAGTGCAAGCTCCTTGGCACAAAATGCATCTGGGCTAGTGACACAGCGCGGCCACAGCAGGTGCTTAGCAGGTAGGGGGCCTGGGATCTGACCCCAGCCCCCAGAGTGGTTCTGAGTGGACATGCCCTTCCATTATGTATTTACAGATACCACACACACTACTATGAGATCTTATTATGTTCATCATAAAGTGCTCAGGAAATGCAGAAATGTCCAGGGCTGAGCCACTTTGCTCCAGTGGACACTGATATTGGAGGGGACCCTCCGGTAGAATTCAAGCAGTAGGCAAAGAGTGGGGGCTCAGAGACTGTCCCAGCAGGTGACACCAGTATTCACCAACACAAAGGTGAATAGATGTGAGGATTCTCTGCTGCACCAACTTGCACAGGTTCTGGGGCATCTTCATCCCACTTCCAGGACCCAGGGACATGCGTCAGGCAGGAGGGTGTCCAGCAGGTCCAGCCTCCTGCCACCTTCCCTGGAGCACTCTATGGGTACGGAAGAGGCCCATTCCACCCCAAGCAGTGCACCTGTCCCAGGAGCTGAGTGTGGGATGTCAGCTCCTGGGCAGAAGCTGTGTGTCCTGACCATGAGAGATTCCCTGGGGGCCCTCCCTGGGGACTGAGTCAAGTCCCTAAGCAAGCTGAGCAGTGTCCATGCAGCCTGGTCACTCACTCACACCCACGACAGGCCAGGTGTGGCAATAGGATGTCACCCCCTCTGGGGTTTCAAGGGAGGCCTCTCCAAGAGACCCCAAGACCAGCCTTGGGGGTAATGGAGGTTTGCTGAACAGGAATTGAGCCTCTCACCCGCAAAGATGCAGTGTGTGTGCAGGATGGAAGTGCTCGGCCATTGTGGTGAGTGGTGCAGACCGGGTAAGGAGTCAGGGTGCTGAGTCCCCGAGGGAAGGGGTGATGGGTGGGTTTGGGACAATCCTGCAGTGTGGCTCAGCTGTGCTCTGAGAAGCCCTTCTGGTGGTTGAGGGGGATGAGCCTGAGGCGGCAGGCACTGGTGTGCTGAGGCCTGGGGCTGCTGGGAGAGTGGCAGTTGGCTGCCTGCCCTGAGATCCTCTCTGGAAATTTTCCTCGGCCACCCAGTGAGTGGGACAAGAAGCCTGGGTGATGCGGTGTACAATCTGAAGAGTCAGCCTGGCCAGAGCACCTTCCAACTCCACAGCGGCTTGATGGACATCTCTCCTGCCACCTACAGCAAGCTCCTGGGCCCTGGCTTACCAGTCTCAGAGAACTTGATGTGACAATGAAGCCAGCTGGGATGCACTGCCCCCGGAGTGCCCACGGCGGAGAAGCACTTTTGGAAGGTAGACTTGGAGCATTCTGGGACACTGGATTTGGAGGGCAGAGTTCGGGGTGCGCCTGGCTTTGGGCTGGATGGGAGCGCTGGGCTCCGGGCATGCAGATGGAGGTGAGGAGCCGTGACTTCTGTGTGGGATAAGGTGCGGCGTCTGCTTGCTGGACCTGTCCAACATGCAAGGGCAGTGCCAAAGTGAAGCCCGCTGTCTCTGCCCACTCAGGAGGGCTGTGCCATTGGCCTGGCCCTTGGGGACCCATAGGCTGCAGCTGTGTTTTCCAGGTGGCATCAAGGAATGGGCGCCCCTTTGAGGTCCTTCGGGAAGAAGCTGGGTGGAGGACTTCCAGGAAACCTTGCTGAACCAGCCCTTTGCTGAAAACCCAGGTGCACTGGCAGCTACCACGTCCCCTTCCTCAGCCCTGTGCCCTCCTGGGCTGGGCTGCCTGGAGGTCTCCTAGAGCTGAGGCTGGGGAGCTGCTAGCTGGAAGCGGCTGCCCAGGCTGCCAGTGCTGAGCACAGGACAGTGCCTCGACCTGGCTGGGGCCTGGAAGAATCATGCAGCAGGGCTGAGAGGGGACCTGGGGACCCACATGGGTACTGGGGGTGGCCACCGAGTAAACAGATGTGGCTACATCTGGAGAGAATCGCCCAGACAGCGCAGCTGCCAAAGAAGAGCAGAGAATGGGGTGAGAAGACAGACAATGGCTAGCCATGGTCCTGGCGACCAGAAGAAAGATGTTGCACTGCCAGAAGCTTCTGCAGGACCAGCACCAGGTGGGTATCAGCCATGCTGAGGGAACACTGCTGAGGACAGGGTCGGTGGGGAGAGGGGAAGTAGGGGCAGAGGCAGAAGCACTGCTGCTGGGCACTCCTGCTGAGGCCCGGCCACCTAGGGTCGGGGCTGCTGCTGTGCCAAGGTAGATGAGCAGGGCATCACCGCAAGGCTCCTCTGTGGCAGCAGCCATCGAGGGATCGGAGGCTCGGGGACCTGAGCTCTGTGGTCATTGATGCCCATGGCCCAGGAGGTGGGAACAGCACAAAGGAAGACCTGAGAGTGCAAGCGTGGCCAGGGCACAGAAGCCCCCACTTCTGGCCTGGCAGGGGCCTCCCTCACCCACTGTGGCCAGGGCAGAGCCCAGCAAGGTGCAAGAAACAGGCACCCAGCTGGGCCAAGAACCCAGCACTTTGGGAGGCTGAGACAAGAGGACTGAAAGTTTGAGTCCAGCCAGAGCCTGAGCAATTGAGTGACAGTGTGACCTTGTCTCAAATAAAACATTTTTAAAAGTCAGAAATGTGGCTCAGAGGAAGGTCCTGGGTTCAATCCCCAGTACTAAAGAAAAACAACAACAACAACAACAACAACAACAACAAAAACTGGAAAACAAGGGAAAGGAAGGAAATCTGCAGGATCTTGACAGTACTCCGTGAGCTGTGAATCATGAGACCCAGGCAGCTTGGGAAAGGCTCCGTTAACCAACAACCAACAAGTTTCCGAACGCAGGACTCATCAGAAAATGCAGCCACATGGTCCAGCCTACGGGTCCCCAGCTTCTCTGGTCACAGGACTGTTTATGGAGGATTCTCTCCTGTTAGAGGGGCGTCTCTGGGTGTGACGGGCAGACCTGCACCAGGCAGGGAGCTGGCCCCGCACTGCATCAAGATCGGAGCAAAGAAGTGAGAGGCAGTTATTCTTCTCCTCAGATGCTTCCATTTCCTTATAAAATATGAAAGAGGATGTCCCCAAGGCCTCCTGTGCTTTTGGAAGGCCATAGGATTATGGAGAATCACAGCTTATGGAGGTCCCTCAGGAAGAGGAGGATCGTGGGGTGGGGAGCATGGCCCGGGAGGGCGTCTCTCTTGCTGCCTGGTTCCTCCCTCATCTCGCCCGATTCCTGTCCACCATGCTGTGAGCAGCTCTCCTCCACCAAGCCCCTGTGCCAGCCCATTCTGCCTGGGGGGTGGGCAGGATACACCTTTCCTCCCTGAGGCTGTGGGTGTTAGGTGCTTTGCTGGGTGATA